TCTAAAAGTTCTGTGAGTTTGTAACTGTTTTTTAGTCTTTACTTATGTGTAGGGAGATAGAATGTGGGTTCTATCTAGTTATTTCAGCCACTGTCTTTAAACCACTGGATAAACCCTATGAACTGCTTTTTGAAATGGGCATTTCACATCTAATTTTTTTGGATACTTACACTTTGAATCACTTCCCAGCAAGGAGATGAGATCATTGGGTTCAGATAACCCTGTATTTCGGGGTTCAGATTCTCCCTTTGCACATTTGCTCCAACTGAAAATGGCAACATGTGTTTGATACCAAATATAGCATCAGTTGAGTTGCTCTCTGTTTGAGATTAATGTCAGACTCCTAAAAGAAATGGAGTATGATGAAGTTTGGGAGCAAGGTGGGGGTGGTCCAGAGCTGATGACCATTAAGAATTTTTAAAGTCAATTTTGGTGCAAAACATTGATTTTCTTTTTTTTTTTTTTTTAATTTTCTGTAATGTTTTATTTATTTCTGAGAGAGAGAGAGAGAGAGAGACAACATGAACAGGGGAGGGTCAGAGAGAGACAGAGAGACACAGAATCCGAAGCAGGCTCCAGGCTCTGAGCTGTCAGCATAGAGCCCGACGCAGGGCTCGAACCCATGAACCGTGAGATCATGACTTGAGCCAAAGTCGGACGCTTAACTGACTGAGCCACCCAGGTGCCCCCCCAAAAAGGGTGATTTTCTTAAAGCATGGGGACAGTACCTGTGGGCCAAAAGAGCTGCCCCACATCCTGTGGAGTGACTGGATATATATTTGGGAGTTGGAGGAGGTAAAGGCAAGGGGAAGTTTCGAGTAAGATTTTCATATGCTAAAGAAGAGTCCCAGGATACTGGAGGCCTAGCTATTGTCAAGCTAATGTTGTTTTTCAAAGCTTTAGCATTAAGAGTGTAGGGAACTCCTGGAGAAACAGCTTACTCTGTTAGCCTCAAGCATCTGTCAATGGGCTGCAGGTTATAAGAGAAATATTTTATCTGCCATTTCCTTCTTTCTGCCTTTGTTTCTTCATATCACTATTGAAGGCTGATGTTGAGGCTTGAGGTACCTGAGCCTGTAGGTTTCTGGAGATTAGGCTATTGATAAGATTCCCTTTTTCTTGTTAATTTACTAAGATATTTGCAAACTGATGGATACCCATGTCCAGTAGGACTGTGATCTCTAACAGTTAGCCATTTGTTTTCTTCCCTTTCCTTTGTCCTTGGGCAGCCAGGAGAAACTGAGGAATGTCACACCTATCCCCCCTGGGGGTGGGGGGTGTTTATGGCCTGTCAGCTTACCTTATGCTTCCTCAATTATATCTGAGAATATGAAGTAAAAATATATGGATAAAAGTGTTCCTCAACAGATGGGACACAGTCACAATACAGGCAAGTGAAGAATTGATGAAGTTTTGGGGTGTTAGGGGATTCTTGGGGTCGAGCTGACGGCCAAGAAAGAATTCTTGAAGATGTCTTTGTTGCATAAAGGTGGTTTTTAAAACATAGTTTATTGTCAAGTTGGTTTCCATATAACATCCAGTGCTCATCCCCACAAGTGCCCTCCTCCATGCCCATCACCCCCCTTCCCCTCTCCCCCATACCCATCAGCCCTCAGTTTGTTCTCAGCATTCAAGAGTCTCATGGTTTGCTTCCCTCCCTCTCCCCCATAACTTTCCCCCTTCTTCTCCCCCATGGTCCTCCGTTAAGTTCCTCCTAATCCACCTATACGTGCAAACATATGGTAGCTGTACAGGTGATTTTACTAAAGCACGGGGACAGGACCTGTGGACAGCAAGAGCTGCACTGAGGTTGTGACAGGTAACTCATTATATACCCTCAGGTTGGGAAGGGGTCAGGTATAAAGTAAATCTCTAAGGAGTTTTGGAAGCAAGGTTTCCAGGACCTTGAGGGTTAGCTATTGCTAGGGAAACACCATTTATCACTGTTTAATAAAACCTCATTCATTATACCCTTCAATGCATAGGGTGGGGGAGGGGGAGGCATAAGATTGGAGTATGATTGCCTGCATATATCTTGAGGCAGTTGAGATAAAGAAAGTTGACTTAGAGGATCCTGGAGATTGGCATAATGTTAAGCTAAGGTTCTCTTTTGCCCCAGCAAAGTGTCATCCTTGAGGCAGCTAAACTCCTGAGGGAGGTCACTCTGCTGTCTCAAGGACCTGTCAATGGGCTATAGGGAGTAAGGGAATTTAATTTTTCATTTGCCTTAGTTTCCCACATCACCATGGCAAGCATTTAAACGCCTTTCCTTTGTTGTTGGGTAGTCAGGGATGTCTGAGGTATATCATACATATTCTACTTGGTTAGGGAGGGGGGTGAAACCTTGTTTTGCCCTTCGGCCTGCCTTATGCTCCCTTATCAGAACCAGTGGCTGACCTCATCATTGTTAACTTAATTCAGGTAGGCCTGCCATCTCTTTTCCTTCTTCCCTGTCATTGACCTGTATAGGGTGTGACAAAGAAAACCACAGGCCCCAGATGGGGTCACTTCTGCTAGTACATGTCACCAATTTTGGACATAATACCTAAATTCATTGTACTTTCAACCACAACCAGACACCACTGGTCAGTGAGGAATATTGTGGTCAGCACCAAAAAGGCAATCTGCCACATGGCCGGGCCCTTTCCATCAACCAAAGGAAGATGAGGTATTCCCCTGATAAGACCTTTTTATCCCATAACAAAGTGACCTAGCTTGACATGATCCTTAATTTTTGTTTATGAAGTTCATGTTCTACATTTAAAAACCTTTCCCGGGACATCTGGGTGGCTCAGTTTGCTAAGCATCCAACTTCAGCTCAGGTCATGATTTCTCAGTCCTGATTTCAAGCCCCACATTGGGTCTGGGCTGACAGCTTAGAGCCTGGAGCCTGCTAAGGACTCTGTGTATCCCTCTCTTTCTGCCCCTCCCCCACTCACATTCTCTCTCTCTCTCTCTCTCTCTCTCTCTCACACACACACACACACACACACACATTCTCTCTCTCTCTCTCTCTCTCGCAGAAATAAAAATTAAAAAAAAAATAGAAAAACCTTTCCCTTTCTGTAGCCCTTAGTTGCTTCCACTACTTGCTAGATGTGATGCTGCCGAATTCACAAATGAATGACTAATCCAAAAGATCTTTAAAATGTACAGTGCTGAATTTTTATGATTTAACAGGGACTTTTCCATTGTTCTTGAGCAATTACAAGACTGACTCTACCACTTAAGGCTGCAAGCATTTGAAGAGCAACAGCATCTTTCCAGCTGTGCAGAGACTCATTTTGAAGTGGAAAACAAAGGCAGGAGGAAACGGCAGATAGAATTAAACTTCCTTACAACGTGCAGCCCATTCAATGATACTTGAGGCTGGCTGTAAAATGTTTCTCCAGAAACTTCTTACCATCTTAATGCTAATACTTTGCTAGAGGGAAAAACAACCTCAGCTTGACAATAGCTAGGCCTCAAGTATCTTCGGAGTCTTCTTTACCATATGAAAATCTCACTGGAAACTCTCCCTTGATTTACCTCCCCCTACTCCCAAATACATAACCAATTTCTACACATGGGTCTTGTCCCCGTGCTTTAATAAAAAGATGTCTTCAAGAATTCTTTATTGGCTCTCGGCTCCAGGTCACCTCACCATCACCCCAGTCTTCATTAATTTGAATTCTGAAGTACTGTACACAACTGAATGATGTGTCATTTTCATAAGGAAGAGGTTTGGGGAGCATCAAAAATACTTTTCCCCTTTGGAAGCTGATTGAGCTTCCTGGAGTGTCAAATTAGGGCTCTTCTCTGCCTTTAACAAGGTCTAAAGCAACTCCTCGTGAGTAGGAGCAGCACTTTCCAGCAATCCTCGGGGTGCCACGTGCCAAAGCTTCTTGGGGCAGAAACCACATCCGGTGACAGCTAGTGCGCAGGGATATACGGTACCGGTACCGGAAGTGTCTGGGCACAGAGGACAGAACAAGGAGCCAATGAAGGAACAGGAAAAGGGATTTCTTGGCGTGCGCAGTTGCTGAGGGCGGGACTTCCGGTTGCACCCCCTCCGACGACTTTTGGCCTTTCCTTAGATGTGTTCACCCTCTAAGGTTGGAGAGCAGAGAGCAGGTGTTGAAGTGACAAACTGAGAAAGAGCAAGGCGAGGCGACGTCCCCCGCACCCCGCAGAGACTAGGGTCCATGGCTCCACGACGACGCGCCCAGGCTGTCCCGCGCCAAGGCCGAGGAAGGGACCGCCGGCCCGGGATTCCGTTCCGCCTACCAAGTCCAATGTCGGTTGTCGCGCCCAGGGATGCGGCTCAGGTAAACTCACGGCGTTTGGGCGCTTCCCGCTCTCCCCCAAGCCAGACCCTCAAGGCACGGGCTCCGGTCGCCTGCTCTGCTCCCTGCGGCCCAGGTCCTGCCGTCAGGGCCCGGGAGGCGCTCGAGAGCGGGGACCCCATGTCTGAGCGCAGCTGATGGGGTGCGGGAGCGGGCTGCAGGGGAGGGTCCGGCTGGTATAGGGGCTGCAGGGGAGGGGCCTGCGCCACCAGCAGGGTCCAGCAGGTCTCCGTCCTTTCAGCGAACACAAGATGCAGCGGTGCCAGTGAGGCCTGTCACCTGGCTGCCTGACCGGTCCGACCATCCTGGCGGCAGTGACGGCGGTGTAACCCAGGTGTAAATAGGCTTCGTCTGGCTGCGGAGAGGACACACTGCGGGGGGAGCGAGGGGACAGGGAGCGCAGGAGGAGGTGCCTGCACGACTGTATGTTTTCGTTGATGGACCAGAATGGCCACCGTGGATGTCAGAGAAGCGGTTGAATTTTGGCTCCGTGGGTGAGAAGGGCCAAGCCAAATTTGGGGCGTCGCGGGTGACAAGGGAAAGGGAGGAGTCCCGGAATACCGGAGGCCTTTTGATCCTTTAACTTTAAGGCATAAACGGCCACTTAATTGACGCGCAAAAACGAGTTTCTTTGGGAGTGAAAGAGAACTGCAATCTGCAAACAAACGAGCTGAGGCTGAACAGTAGGCCAGTGTGGAGGACACAGAGAGGTAGGCTTTTGTAAAGGGGAAGGGGCTAAGCTGGGAAGACTGTTAAAAACTACAAACAAGTCCATGAGAGCAAATGGGAAGTCAGAGTATGGCGGCTTCCCATCGGCTGAGCTGTTGGGTGGGATGGTCCGGAAAGCTGGTCTTTTCCCCTCTGGACAAGTAAAGTAGCTTCCCCATCGAAGGCCAAGTGTCTCTTCCTGTTGGGTCTGCATTGCTCATGGCGGCGGTGGGTGAGAGCTCCCCCAGCTGCGTCCTCCCAGCCCCACTGTAGTGAGGTTTTCGTCATTCATTTTCACAGGTCTTAGTAGCTGAAGGGATGGAAGCTCCCATCAGCTGGATGGAAGGTGGCAGGCTGATGGTCCGTGGAGATCCCCTAAGTTGTTTTGAGACCTCGTTGGAGCTTAGTGTTCAAAGGAGCGTGCGTGATGGCATCAAGAGGGCAGCTGGACAGGACATATCGGGGATCCGGGGGAGCGTTTCAGGATGGAGACCTTGAAAAGTGATGGCTGTTGTGTGGCCCGGGGTGGAGGTTTGGGTCACGTTGAGGAAGGGAGGCAGAGTGTCGCGGCACTGGTATTAGTAGGTCAGAGGGCCTTTGGGAATCGTGCTGAAGCGTGGTTCTCTGGCTCAGCACCTGGTTGGGTTGCTGGGCCGTGCGGGCACCGGTGGAGGAGAGAGCGTGATCTGGCAGATAGATGGGTCAGGCTTCCGTGGGATGATGGCACAAGAGAGGCTGAGGACACCCAGGAGTAATGGAGACAAGGTGAGAGCGAGACTGGGCTGCTCTTTATTCAGAGGTGTAGGGCTTCCCAGAATTTTGTGGTGGGTTTTTATGGTGTCGGGGCCGTTTCAAAGTCTTGCTGTTGGATTAGGTCTGGGGCAGGTGTGGTCATTTGTGAGTCTCTGTGCCTGTCAGGGTGCCCCTTAGGGCTGGGGTTTCCACAAAGGTTCAGTGCAGAGGGGTGGGTTGGGACCGTTGAAGGGACAGCATGGGCAACACAGAAGTATTAGAGAGACTGTGAGCCTCTGAAGTTGACATGTGTCTGTGGGTGTGCGTCCCTGAGGCCAGGATCCCAGGCAGGCGAGGGGGCCTTCTCAGCAGCGTTTGAGACTTTCCCTCAGTTGGGATCCATGAGAGTGGTGGGGTTGTGGTGGAACCTGTTTGAATTTGTCACACATCCTTTGGATGTCATGTGACAGGTACAAGTGTGCGTCCGGGGGGCATCCTTTGGTGTGGGGCAAAGAGCTGTGGGGGCACAGCTGTGGGGTCTGAAGGTGTGAGGGAGATGCAGACCGCAGTCATGCTCACGTGGAGAGGGAGTGTGAGTGTGAGCTTAGGGCCTCAGGGCCCTGGTAGTGAAGACTGACTGGTCCAGGTGGGTCTGTAATTAGCTGTGTTTGAGGCCACATTCTGGGAGACTCCTCCAGAATTTCCAGGCAGAAAGGGTGGCACTTGCAGGCCAACCCCAGACTGCAGATTGCATCTGTGCCCCAGCCCTGCCTCTTATTGCTGTGGATTGAGCACCGCGATTGGTGGGAAGGTGAGGAGACAGTGGCATCAGTGGCACCAGGACCTGGTATTTAGTCTGAGGTAGGATCTGGGGTGTCTGGGGGAGAATGGGTATATGTGTGAGGGGTTGGATTGTGGGTTCTCAGAGAGAGAACGTTCATGGTTTCATCTGTCCCTTTCTGACAGGGTGATGTGACCTTTGAGGACATTGCCATCTACTTCTCCCCGAAGGAATGGAGCCTTCTGGATGAGGCTCAGAGACGGCTGTACTATGATGTGATGCTGGAGAACTTTACACTTATATCCTCCCTGGGTAAGGCCCTCCCCCTCCCCAGTGACCTGGACTGGGCCCTGTACTCCCGCCTTAGCCCCCAACCCCCCATTCCACAGGAGATGTTTGTCCCTCTTAGGTCGGGACTGAGGAAACTGCTTGCTTCCCCAGCTTTCATGGCGTTTGCTTTTGTTGGCAAGGCTGGGTTGTCGGTGTGCCTTTTTGTCTCCCCTCCATCTCAGTACCCTCTGTGCTTAACCCTCATAGGGTAAAACAGTAGCCATACAGTGCGCGACGCTGATGGATTGTGCCTTACTTACCCTGTGACTGGCTGGGTCACTCCTCAGAACCATGCCTTTTCTGTGGCCCGTTTCGCTGCCTTCTTTTGGCTGACATTTCCTAGTGCCTGCCTGTGCTGGAAATTGCAGGCATTTACTTGGTCATACTTATGTGGACTACAGGCTGCTTCTCACGACTGTCTCGTATGGTTCTTTTGGTGGCGTTTACATCTCTTTTTCTACCTGCCCCATCCCTTTTGTTTTGTTGAGGTATGGCTGACAAAGATTACACTTCGAAAGTGTATTACATGAGGATTTGATCTACTTATACCTTATGATATTAGTTCCTAAATGAAGGTAATCAGCACACCGATTACTTGACAAAATTACCCTTTTGTGGTTAGTGAGATGCCTAATACCTACTCCCTTAGCAAATTCCAAGTGTACAGTACAGTATTCACAAATGTGATCAGTATGCTCTCTGTTAGGTCCTTAGAACTTAATCATCTTTAAAAAAATTTTTTTTTACTATTTTTAAATATTTTTTAAAGTTTTTTTTAAAAATATATATTTCAGGGGCACCTGGGTGGCTTAGTCGGTTAAGCGTCCGACTTACGCTTAGGTCATGATCTCACGGTTTGTGGGTTCAAGCCCCGGGTCGGGCTCTGTGCTGACTGCCAGCTCAGGGCCTGGAGCCTGTTTCAGAGTCTGTGTCTCCCTCTCCTTCTGACCCTTCCCTGCTCACGCTGTCTCTCTCTCTCTCGCCTAGAAATAAATAAAAAACATAAAAAAAATTTTTTTTTAATCTGTATTCATACAGAGAGACAGAGAGTGAAAACGTGAGCAGGGGAGGGTCAGAGAGAGGAAGACACAGACTCTGATGCAGGCTCTAGGCTCTGAGCTAGCTGTCAGCACAGAGCCCGACGCGGGGCTCAAATCCACGAACTCTGAGATCATCACCTGAGCTGAAGTCGGATGCTGAATCAACTGAGCCACCCCGGCGCCCCTAAAAATTTTTTTTAGTGTTTTTTACTTATTTTGAGAGAGAGATAACATGTGAGCAGGGGAGGGCCACAGGGAGAGAGTAGGAGAGAGTCCGAAGCAGACTTCTTACTCAGCTTTGAGCCCTACTTGAGATCATGACCTGAACCTAAATCAGGATTTAGATGCTTACCAGACTGGGCCACCCAGGCACCCAGAACTCATTAGTCTTGTTTTGGAAATGTGTTCCCTTGACTAGTATCTCCCCATTTCCCCAGTTCCTTTGCTTTTAGCTTTCTACTTTCTGGGAGTTTTTTATTTTCCCTCACGTTTTTATTTATTTATTTATTTATTTATTTATTTTTAGAGAGACAGAGAACCAGCAAGGGATGGGCAGAGAAAGAGGAAGACAGAGCATATGAAGTGGGCTCTGCTAATGGCACGGAGCCTTATGCAGGGCTGATCTCATGAACCCTGAGATCTAGACTTGAGCCAAAATTGGATACTTGACCTACTGAGCCACCCAGGTTCCCCTGATTTTTTTTTAAAGAATATCTATAAGTGATACTTTACAGAATTTGCTTTTTGCTGTATGGCTTATTTGATTAGCAAAATGTGTTCCTGGTTCATCCACGTTGTGGCAAGTGGGAGTGTTGCCATCTTTTCTGGTCTGATTATCCCTGTATGTGTGTGTATTAAATGTTCAGGGGCGCCTGGGTGGCTTAGTCGGTTAGGCGTCCGACTTTTGCTTAGGTCATGATCTCGTGGTTCGTGGGTTCGGGCCCCGCATCGGGCTCTGTGCTGACTGCCAGATCAGAGCCTGGAGCCTGTTTCAGTCTGCGACTCCCTCTCTCTCTGACCCTCCCCTGCTCACGCTGTCTCTCTCTCTCTCTCCTAGAAATAAATAAAACATTAAAAAAAAAAAATTAAAAAAAAAAAATGTTCTTTGTCACTTTATTCACTTATTTAAGTTTTTTTTAACGTTTATTCATTTTTGAGAGACAGAACAGAGCATAAGTAGCGGAGGGGTAGCAAGAGAGGGAAACTGAATTCAAAGCAGGCTCTAGGCTCTGAGTGGTCAGCACAGAGCCCAACACAGGGCTTGAACTCACTGACCATGAGATCATGCCTAACCCAAAGTCGGACACTCAACCGACAGAGCCACCCAGGCACCCCCATTTATTTTTAAAATACAACTTATTTGTGTATTTTATTTTTTTAAAAGTATGCTCCATGCTCAATGTGGAGCTTGACCTCTGAACCCTGAGATTGAGAGTTCCCTGCGCAACCACTGAGCCTGCCAGGTGCTCCTTCTTTGTCACTTTGAACACTCAGAACACTTAGGGGCACCTGGCTGACTCTCTTGGTTAAGCATCTGGCTTCAGCTCAGGTCATGATCTCCAGTTCACTGAGTTCGAGCCCCGCATCAGGCTCTGTGCTAATAGCTCAGAGCCTGGAGCCTGCTTCAGATTCTATGTCTCTTTCCGTCTTTCTGCCTGTCCCCTGCTCGCACTCTGTCCCTAAATAAATAAGCATTAAAAAAACTCACCACACTTGGGGCGCCTGGGTGGCTTAGTCGGTTGAGTGTCCGACTTTCGCTTAGTTCATGATCTCGCGGTTCGTGGATTCGAGCCCCACGTCGGGCTCTGTGCTGACTGCCAGCTCAGAGCCTGGAGCTTGTTTCAGTCTGTGACCCTCCCCTGCTCATGCTGTCTCTCTCTCTCTCTCTCTCCTAGAAATAAATAAAACATTAAAAAAAAAAAAAAAAACTCACCACACTTAATGATTCCATATATAGGCTCTTGTGAATAATACTTCAGTGAATGTGCAAAAGCAGGTAATTTGTGGAGATTCTGATTTTATTTCCTTGCTATACATACCTAGGAATAGCAACAGTGGGCCATATACTGTTTTTTTGTTTGTTTAATTTATTTGTGGGTCCTCTATAATATTTTCCATAACTTGTCTATTTATATTCCCAGCGACAATGTTCAAGGTTTTTTTTTCCTCCACCTCCTCACCAACATGTTACCTCTTGATTTTGTTTTTAGTTGCCATTTTAACAGGTATGAGGTGATATATGGTGGTTATGATTTTTATTTCCCTGATGGTTAATGAGTGTGAGGGCATTGTAGCCACGGGTATGTCCTTTTTACTGTCTTGTGTATTTCTCTGGCTCTGCTGCAACTTTTCAGTTAGGTACAGTGGTGGTTGTTTTCGCCATTTTTCTCTGCTTTTAACGTCATAGTCAAAAAATCATTGACAGGAATAGGGGCGCCTGGGTGGCTCAGTCGGTTGGGCAGCCAGCTTCGGCTCAGGTCATGATCTCATGGTCTGTGAGTTCGAGCCCCATGTCAGGCTCTGTGCTGACAGCTCAGAGCCTGGAGCTTGCTTTGGATTTTGTGATTCTCTCTCTCTGCCCCTCCCCTGCTCAAGCTCTGTCTCTTTCTGTCTCAAAAATTAAAACACACAAGGTAAAAAAAATTTTTTTTTCAAAAATCATTGACAAGAATAAAATTAGGAGGATTTTCCAGACGGTTTTCCTAGGAGTGTTAGGTTTTGAAGTCCTATGTTTAAGTCTTTATTCAATTTAAAGTTCATTTCCACAAGTGCTAGAAGATCGGGGTCCAGTTTCATTGTTTTGTCATTTTGGTATTCAGATTTCTGAGAAGAGAGTATTCTTTCTCCCAGTGTATTTTGGCATAATTGTTGAGGATTAATTAATTGTTTATGTATGGGTTTACTTCTGGGCTCTTTATTTCATTGCACTGGTCTGTTTTTATGCCTTACTGCTGTTTTATGGTTTAGTACCATATTGTTTTGATTACTACAGCTTCAAAATAGAGTTTGAGATCAGAAATATGCCGCCTTCAGCTTGGAACTTCTTTCTCAAGAGAGCTTTGGCCTTGAGGATTTGGTTAACTCGCTGCCAGCGTCCTCTGTGGACCAGGCAGCTGGAGTCTCTTCTGTGCAGGGACTGTCGTAGCATCTGCCCTGTGGCTGATAGAGATGCCTCAGCTCTTGTTTTTTATACATCTCCACGCATCTCTGATAATTGTCTCCAGCCATCCTTTCTTCTTGCTTCTGCCCTCTTTTCTGCTGCACAGTGTTGTAGTTCGTCTTAATTAGGCCCTTGAACCCTAGGAGTCTAATGTCATTCATAGACAGCTATTTAATTGCTTTATGTTGGTGTGAGAGATGGCATCTTGTATTCTGCCATCCTGCAGACATCAGTCACATAGGATGTTTTTCTGGGTCTGTTGTCTGCAGGGTAGCTGTGGAATACTCCTGGCCATCTAGTTCTTTTCCTACAATATTTCTATCCTCCCTGTGCCCTGTAGTTGCTCACCTAGGACTTACAGGGAAGAGTCCATTCTGTAGCATAGGATGGACATGATCCGAACATGACCAGGTGGGCTAACAGGGGACCTTTATCAGTGAACGGCAGCTGGGGGAGGTGTGATATCAGGATTCTGTTCAGATAGTACTAGGCACCTTTGTTCAACTAGAATTTGGTGCCATCGACAATGACCACACCTTATTCCTGTCTTCTTCACTGTTGACAGTTTGTTTACTTGTATGTTCTACTCTGCTGGTAGCTCCATGACTTCCCGCGCAGGGGTGATTGCTGTTTCTTGCTTCTCCACATCTTATGCATTTCTCCCACTACTCTTCCTGTGTTCTCCAACATTCACCTTTGCCCATTTGCCAGAAAATGTTCCTGTATCCTTAAACTGACCTTGAACAACCACAGATTTCTTCTGATTGGATTTCTCAGCAGCCTCCTCCTCAGCTAAATATCAGTAGCAGAAAAAACCTCGTGAATGCTTTGGGCAGAGAAACAGGCTGTAGACCCAGGCTCTCTTCCACCAAATCCCAGTTTTCTGTCTTTCCAATGACTTGGAGTGCCTTGACTTTAGGGGCCCAGTCATGCACAGTGAGCACACTCTATCTGAATTCCAACTCCCGTATCTGGAAAAGCATCTTATCTGCTCGAGCCTACACGAGTCAGGTGCTTATATGTGATGGGCTTACTTCCTCACTGGAGTCACCACGTATTTCATCAGAGTTTCTTTGCGTTCAGGTTGCTGCTGTGGAGCAGAGGATGCAGACGCACCCTTCGAACAGAACGTTTCTGTAGGTGTGTCACAGGCCAGCGCACCCAAGGCAGCTCTGTCTTCCTGGAAGAGCCACCCCTGTGAGATGTGTGGTCCGGTCTTGAGAGACATTTTCCGCTTGGCTGAGCACCAGGGAAAACCAAGCAGCAAGAAACTGTTGAGGTGTGGGGCATGTGCAAAACTATTTTATTTCAGCGTAAACTTCCAGCAGCTGCCAGAGCAGCACGTGGGAGAGAAACGAGTCAGAAGTAGTGTGGACACGGCCTCTTTTGTGAAGGGAAATGGATTCCATGATTCAGGAAAACCCCTTACCTGTACTGAGGTTCAGAAGGAATTCGTGCCTGGCTCTGGGCATCTACAGCAAGACGCCACTCATACTGAAGAGAAGCCAAACACAATCAGCCAGTGCAGGGCAACTTTACAGAGCCGTAAAGGTCATTACACTTGGGGAGATTGCAAGACAGCCTTTGGTCCCAAGCATGCACATGTTCAGGATCAGGGTGTCCAACCTGGCAGACCGTGTTTTGTGTGCAGTGAATGTGGGAAAACATTCAGGTACAAATCTTTATTTGCTATCCACCAGAGATTCCATACTGCAGAAAGACATCATGAGTTTGGCAAAGGTGGAAAATCCATTAGGCAGAGGTCTATCCTTAGTCAACATGGAAGGACTCACACTGGGTCCAGGCAGTACACGTGCATCAAATGTGGGAAATCCTTAAGCCACAAATCTATGCTCATTCATCCCCAGACAGGGCACAGTGGAGAAAATGATTATGTTTGCAGTGCATGTGCAAAATCTTTTAGCCATAGTTCAATTTTAATTACCCAGAGGCTTCAATCTAGAGAGAGGCCTTATCAGTGTGGTGACTGTGCAAAATGTTTTCCCTCTCTCTCTGCTCTCGGATACCATCAAAGATCTCACACAGGGGAAAAACCTTATCAGTGCAGGGAATGTGAGAAGTCTTATTTCTCCAGCACTGGCCTCCGTTACCATCTCAGAGTTCACACTGGAGAAAAGCCTTATAAGTGCAATGAATGTGGCAACTCTTTTTTCTCTCTGTCTGATCTCCATTATCATCACAGAGTTCACACTACAGAAAAGCCTTATCAGTGCAATGAATGTGGCAAGTCCTTTCTCCGAAAAGACAGCCTAAGTGAACACATAAAGGTACACTCAAATGAAAGGCCTTATAAGTGTAATGAATGTGGGAAATCTCTGAAGTGGAAGGCAACATTCATTAAACACCAGAGAGTTCACACAGGAGAAAGACCTTATGAATGCAGTGAATGTGGCAAATCTTTTACTGCTAGTTCTGCCCTCAGGTATCATCGGAGAGTTCACAGTGGAGAAAGGCCTTATCAGTGCAGTGAGTGTGGTAAATCTTTTATCACTACCTCTGTCCTCCATGTACATTGGCGAGTTCACACTGGAGAAAAGCCTTTTGAGTGCAGTAAATGTGGGACATCTTTTACCTCTACTTCTGCCCTCCGATACCACCAGAGAGTTCACACTACAGAGAGGCCTTATGAGTGCAGTGAATGTGCCAAATCTTTTTTCTCTGTCTCTGACCTCCAGTGTCACCAGAGAGTTCACACTGGGGAAAGGCCTTATAAATGCGGTGAATGTGGCAAGTCCTTTCTCCGAAGAAATAGCCTCAATGTACACATAAAAGTTCACTCAGGGGAAAGACCTTATAAATGTAATGAATGTGGAAAATCTTTTAATTATAGGTCAACATTCATTGAACACGAGAGAAGTCACACAGGAGAAAAGCCTTATCTCTGCAATGAATGTGGAATGTCTTTTAGTCAGAGTCGTGCCTTCCGCTTTCATCGTCACTGTCACCTTGGCGGAAATCCTTATGAGTGTAGTCAATGTGGGAAATCTTTTACTACTAATTCTTCCTTCCTTTCACACCAGAGAATTCACACTGGAGAAAAGCCTTATCTCTGCATTGAATGTGGGAAGTCTTTTACTGCTCGTGCGCTCCTCCGTTCTCATGAGATTGTTCATACTGAAGAAAGGCCTTATGAGTGCAGTGAATGTGGCAAGTCCTTCCCCCGAAAAACTACCCTCAATTTACACATAAAAGTTCACTCAACTGAACGGCCTTATAAGTGTCATGAATGTGGGAAATTGTTGAAGTATAGATCTACATTCATAAAACACCAGAGAATTCACACAGGAGAAAGGCATTTTGACTGCAGTGAATGTGGGAAATCTTTTATCACTTATCATACTCTTAGTTATCATCGCAGGACTGCACACAGGAGAAACACGTTAGGAGTACTGTGAATGTGGGAAATCTTAAAACTAACTCTCCAAACGCACTCCACATGAGAAACTACACAGTAGATAGTCTTTATTGGTGACATTATGACCTGAATGCTCATGTTCACTAGAATTCCTATGT